GAAGAAGAAGAAGAAGAAGAAGAAGAAGAAGAAGAAGAAGAAGAAGAAGAAGATTAATACTTTTTTAAAAATCTAACTATCGCTTGGATCGCACAATGTCCTCTGCTCATGTTCAATATTTGCGATTTCCTTGAATTCGCAAAATCAGTTCTTACTTCCTTGAGAAACGACGGTTGAAATGTCAGCCTTTTGAAATACACGTATTACATCTTTATAACAACAAACTCGCTATTTTCTTTTTTTAACCGCGTCTTTGCTAGACGATGCATGCCATTATTAGAGTCGTTTATGTATAGCCTTTAAGAGACCTGCAAATGCTGTGATAATATACATTATATATATTATTGATAAATTTTTATATTGGTAAGCTGAAATAGACTCATCATCATCAGCAACAGCAGCAGCAGTAGCGGCGGCAGCAGACTTTGTTACATGCAAAGGCCACGAAAAAGAGCTCCTGTCCTCTTAATTCAATTAGGCTCAGCACCATGTGCTCTCCGGACGACCTCTTCTACTCTTTCCGTGGGGGTTCCATTTAATGTCTTAATTTGAGAGACATGTATCGGATCCCATACAAATCGTGTGCTCGATCCACTATTCGTCGTCTTTTTCTGACCCCCGCCTCTTATTGGTGTCGGCTTGTTCTTTGACAGAAACTAATTTAATCCAGAAAGTTCTAGAGTTATCGTTACAAATCAGACGACAGCGTCCGATAACAGGACCTGCTCGGATGCCTTCATTTCCGTCTCTTTGTAAAGTTCTTGATGCCGTAAACCCAGCCCTGTCCCCGTCCCATTCTAATAGTAATCCTTAGTATTGTTCTCTCCCATACTGTCCCAATCCTTCCCATTGTTCTGTCCCATACTGCCCAATTTCTATTTCCTCTCAAATATTCTCCTAATCCGCTTTGTCATCTGTCTAAAACAAAAGCTCTTGTTCTCGCCACACTCACTCTCTGGACACTTTTGTCCGTTGTCTCCTGAACAAGCTAGGGTCATGAAAAATTACTTTATCCCTCACTTTCACTGATCCGACATTATATACGACCCATACCTTTTCTGATCTGACATTTATTCACCCTTCAACTTTTCCTTCTCATTTCCTTGCTCTTCCATGTGTTGCTCGTCAATGACACCCCCCACCCAAACACACACACACACACACACACACACACACACACACACACACACACACACACACACACACA